TGAGGATACTTTTGTCAATTTTGCTATGTTAAAAATTTCAAGCTCTGACACAGCAGACGATTTCTCTTCAATTAAATATATATATATATATATATATATTTTATTTATTTATTTGAGTTTTCATGCTATATTTTTTTATACAATATTCTTATATCCGAAGATATTGTTGGCTTAGCATAGGAACAGCCACAAACAGTAATTAAGACTAATCCAATGTAGCGTCCGTTATTGACCAACATTTTTGCGTGCTGAAGTACTACTCAAGCGCTGAGTTGGCGGTGGCGGGATTTGAACTCGTATCGTTCTGTATTCGTATCAGTCTGGGTTTTCACTTTTCCTTTAACGCTCTAACCATCTGAGCTATCCCGCCACATGACATATACATATATATATATATATATATATATATATATATATATATATATATATATATATATATATATATATATATATATACAAAATAGATAATAAATTATTATGGTATAATAATAATAATACAAATACTTTTGTGCGTTTAAGAATGCTCAATACTATTAAATAATAGAGCAATATTTATTTATTTATTTATATTAAATGAATAAAAACAACTTTTGATGGAACTCTGTGTTTCATGCCTTTCGGCAATCATCAGCCATTGTGTATTTCGTCACTTAAAAACCGTTTAAAAATTACAAATTTAAATTACGGTGGAACGAGTTCTGACGTTACAAAAACAAAACAAAACAAAAAGACGTCAAAGGTTTTAGTCCCCGGTATCGAATAAGGATACTAAAAAATTTTTTGAATGCCGGCACTTTGATATTGTTTCATATCTTTTATTAAGTAAGTTTTCTCCTTTATATGATAATATGTGAAATTTCTCGCCGAGACAAAGATTACAAATTTTTGATGCTTGATTGTAGGGCTTACATTGTGCTATTATCTTCCATGTAATCACAAGATTTATATGTTTCGATTTTAGCTCCCATATTTCTTTGGAAAGTTTAGTGGCATTTTTATATTTGGGTGTATTGAAAGACTTAAGATGGTTGGCATATCTTAATTTAAATGTGGTTTCACTTATACTGAAATAAACTTTATCTTTGAATTGAGGATCTCCAGAACTTACAGTGGCTTGGTATACAATATTGCTAAAAAGGTATTGGTTATTTAACGGAAAATTTTTTTTGTCTATACAGTTACATTTTTTTGATGTTTTGTTTTTATCGCTTTGTAAAATTTTGTTACTATGTGCATTTATTAAAGACTTGATATTAGGCATGCAACTATAGCTAACTTTAATATAGTTTCGATTAAAAATTTTATGAAGCCTGTGTCCTACCGGAATATGTTGGTCAATTAAAGCTAAAAAGCGACTTCGAATTTTAGTTTCAACATTTTTTGCTAAACGGGAGGTTGAACCATATAATTTTACGTTTGCGATGTCTTTTTTGATTTTTGTTTATTTGCGGTTGGTAGGTGAGTTTTGATTTGTATCCTGATTTACGTAAAGCCTCTGATGGAAGGCGTTTTTTTTCATAAATAACTACCCAAGAAATGATTCAAATTATACAGACTACAGAATCAAATCATCAAAATGCCCACCGCAAATAAATGAAATGCGTTCTTTCGAAAAAGACCTTATAAACTTAGTTAAATCATATATATAGAAATGACTATATAATGAAATTATATAGAAATGACTAATTTTACAAAAAGGACGCTCTACTAAAGAAAAAATATGCAGTTCGGTACTCCTCAAGCCTCCTAGATAAAATTGGCAGATATAGTCTTGTAATGTAGTAAAATATGTTTACACAATATCTAGAGTTTTATAATGTGGTAAGATATGTTTTTGCATTAATTTATTATATTAATTTTATATTACTTTATATTTATTTTGATAAACATTTTATGTCTTTTTTTTTTTTGCTTTACTTAGGTTGGAGGGGGATGGCACACACGTCTTTTCCTAAATCAATGTATTCACCTTTAGTATATGTTGTAAAGAAGTAAACATGATTTTTTTTTATAATAATAAATTTTCTTTTTATTATAAAGATATAAATATTTGTAAAAATAAAACTATATAAAAGAGATAATATCTCCTTCATATTTACCCTAACACAATATTGTACCTATCCTTTGATACCAAGTTGTATCTATCCTTTGTACCAACCTTGATCAGAGGTTTAAAAGAAGGAAACTTACGTGTTAATATTTAGTGAAACAAATACACAAACGTTTACAATATAAAACACATTAGTTCGTCTATTATAAGTATTTTTCTAGTCTAAACTTTTATTTACGCGTGTTATGTTCAAGGTTTATTGATTTTTGACATTTTGAAAAACGTGTAGATTATGTAACAGATTTACCCAAACCGTTTTTTAAAAAACAACAAATATAATAGTGTTATGCAAGGTACTACATTAAAAAAAGCCAAACAATGCTTTTTTTAAAAAAAAAAAATGAATTGTAAAACTTGTTTGATTCATTATAAAGTTGATGTGAAATATGAAGTTGATGTGAAATATGAAGTTGATGTGAAATATGAAGTTGATGTGAAATATGAAGTTGATGTGAAATATGAAGTTGATGTGAAATATGAAGGCCTTGTCAAATTTATCTTTATTTATTTTAAAATTTTTGAGCGCCGATAAAGTTGACCGACGCATCTTTGAAGACAAATATAATTATGAAATGACACAGAAATTTAGATTTTGATGTGTTTAATTTGATAAACCTGTTTGTTTTTTTTACTTTATATTTGGTAAGTTTTTGAAAAGGCATTCAGATCTTAGAAAACGAATGCCATAAAATTTGAGCCACCAGCGGTGAAACGTTTTTCATGCTCAAATCAGGCAATGGTTTACTGACCTCGAGAATTATTTGTTTGAAGAACCATTTAATCCAGAGGCGATTGACTATCAAAACTTGTTGATTATTCTACAACAACGCCCCTGTTATCATTCCCGTTGTCACAAACTTTTAATTCTTTGACAAAAAAAGTTTACTTTCTTGAGGTGCTTTAAAAAATAGATTCGTTGTTACCAGATAATGTCCTGGTAACGTTTCGAAGACGAATAGAAGAAGGCTATAACGTTGAGAGTGATTCGACTACTTCTGGTCGGTAGAAGAATGTGTATAAGTGGTTGCACATTAATTCAAATAAAAAAACCTCCACCTCTAAAACATTGCTCAGTTTTTATCCAGATGCAGTAACACCATGTAAAGCTGCAACATAAACTACAACTATTACAAAAGTACAAACCTGCAATAACTATATTTCCAGCAGGTATAATAATACTCAAACACACATAGCTTGTGTCAAACCTATGCGGTCCACGAACATTATCCCAACAACTACAGAATCCAATAATCTAATCTCTAGAGAATTAAATTTTCTGGGTATTTTAGACCACCATATTGTAACCTAGTTTTAATAACATATCCCTTCAACCATCAGCTTCATCTCATAAGTTTTACGAAAATTGGGAGTATTCTCTATTTAAAAACTACCTTGCGATTTTTCAAAAATGTACTAATAAGTAGAAAATATCGAAAGAAGCAGAATAATATTCGACAAGTAATGTTTGGAGCCCACCCAAAAGGTTTTTGGTGTTGCCTATATTACTCTATAAAGTTTTTTAATATCTTTACTTGTTTTTACAAATCCTAAAAGTTAAAAAGGCTTTTACATTTAGGACCTGTAAAAACATTTACTATTAGGCCCCGTGATCAAGCCTTAAAACAGGCTCGATCACTAGGCCCAATAAATAGCTATATTGATGTTATATTTATCTGTGTTGTCTGGTAAAAAAAACTAAATATTGGTATTTACTGGGGCTGATCTATAAGAAAGGCAATTGGGGCAATTTGCCCTCTCCCCCTCCCTCCTCAGATTTAAAAAAAAATATTTTTTCTTTATATTTTTTTATATTTAATACAACGTGTTGTTTGAAAAAAAAGAAGGAAACCAGACAGGCTGTTTAAAAATGATATAAATTTTTAATAAACTTGTAAGATGCAAATTTTAAATCATAATATTTAAAATAATAATAACCTTTTATAAAACTTAAAAATAGACTCCTTCCATTATCAGATGGTCTAAATTTATCAATATAAAAAAAATTGACAAATCACCACCTGTTTCCTTTACTAGATTTGCCCATGGGTGCTTAAAGTTGTTCTATTTTCTTTTTTTTTTCAGCATGAGTTTTGCTGAAAGATTTAACAACATTTTGAGTTGCAAAAAAATCAATTATTAATTGCTCAATGAGAAAGAATTTTTAAATGTTTTTTGGGAACCCATTTTTTTACAAATAGAAAACCAATTTTTTTAAATACATTTATACTTTATTTTGAAGATGACAAACGACGCCTTTCCACTAATACAAAATGATAAAAAAATACTGTACCGTTACATTCGTTTTCGGGCAACCTGAAAAACATCTTGTATCAAAGATCAAAAAAGTAATTGCAATTAACCACAACATATGTTTTTTAGAGAATTTTTGGAATTTTTTTTAATTTTTGAAAGTTTTTATAACATTGCAAAGCACTTCTTTATTTTTTCTCATATTGACGGACAATATAAATATTACTTTACAATTATTTTATTCCTGATAATATGCATAATATTCAAGTTGCTATATGTATTAGTTTATGCTATATGCTATATCACACTAGGGGCCAAAGGACTGCCAGGTTTCTTTGACCAAAATGGCTAAATTAGCTTAAGAGGCCTGGCGGTCTCATTGGCCACCAGTGTTCTATTAAATATATCGATGCATATCGCAATTGTTAGATAATTAAATTTAAATGTTCACTTTTAACTATAAAAGCGTGAGAAAATTTTAAAACTTTTTTTTTTTTTTATTAATGTAAATTTGGAAACTTCTAAATGTCCTAAAATGCCCCAAATAAATAATTTTATAAATGTTATGAGAATGCTCTAAATTCAGCAGCGCTTTTACTCGGACTTATTTTACGGACGCGTGCTTTAATACATAAATTTTTATTTATAAACATGGCTACGAGGTAGTTGTATTGAAGAATACAAATTGTTTTTTTTTATTTGTTTTTAGATACTAATTTTTTGTCTTTACCACAAATAAAAAATGTCTCAAGGATATAAAGAGCCAGATTATTCAGGAATAAATAATATATCAGGTTAGTTTATGCTAATAACTATATGTATTGGTTCATAAATGGACAATAGTGGCCAAAGAGTCCGCCAGGTCACTTTAGCCAAGAGTGTTCTTTAAAATATATCGATGCATATCGAAATGTTTAAAATTAGATAATTAAATTTGAATCAAAGAGTTCAGATTAAATTGCTCATTTGGTTATGAAAGGGTGAGGAAATTTTAATAAATTTGATCGGTTTGTAATTGTATATTTATTATAAATTTGATTGATTTGCTATTGTATATTTGCTTTTTTAAGTAAAATATTACTAAAATAATTTTAGAATTTCATTTAATATAATACAATATAGGTAATATAATATTATACTGTAGAAAATATTTGGTATTTTAAATTACTTTTGTTCACAAAATGATATTATGTGAGTTGTACATCATTTAGTTAAAAAATCTAAAAAAAAAAGTCTTTTTCAAAAATTCCAAAATAGTCATTTCCAAAAATGTATTTATTAGATTAATAAGCAAAAAATATAATTTAAAGAGAATTGCAACTACTGCTAAACAAATGATTACTCGCTGTAATATTTTTAAATGTTTGACTACGTGTGGTTTTTAATGTCATTATTTTATTGTTTATTTTTACTGTTAAGTTAAAAACTTTTAGTTAATATTTTCAAAAAATAAATTTTTTTTAGAAAAAGTAAAGTAAACTAATTTTATAATACTACATTATATTTTATATCTTTGATTATATTATATTTATAAAATATTTAAAAAAATATGTATTCTAATAAATAAATGATTAAAAAAAAAAAAAATAGAAATAAAGAATATCTTAAAGATATAATAGCTTTTTAATAAAGCTATTAATAATAAAGCTTTTTCTAAACCAGTTTGTTTTTGTCATTTGTTACCATGTAAACGGGAAAAAGAAAGAAAAAATCTTTAAGTGCTAAGTTCTTTAAGTGCTAACACTTTAAAGTATAATGAAAACAATAAATTTTTAATAAAATGATAAAACTTGTTTAAACTGATTTAAAAATAATGTTTATTAATAAAACTGCTTTAATTGAACATCAATAAAACTGTTTTCAACTTCTTGATTCTTATAGTGAATGCATAGCTAGTATTTAAAAAACTTTGATAGAATAAGTTAAAAGATATCAAAAGATATCTATATACCAGTTCCTTATTTTTCCACTACTTTTTATTATACAAAAACACCCTCAGGATGCTAACCAGGAATAACAAACTCTATATAATTTATTATACTTGAGAATTATATAATAAATGTTATAAGTTGTGTTAAATTTAAAATAATATCAAAATATTTTATTAAAAAGTTGTAACATTATTTTTACAATAAAATTATATTAGTTGCAATATTACTATTTATTAGTAAAATTGAACCTCAATAAAACTGTTTCCAACTTAAAAAAGACCCTCTAGAGACCAGTTCATTGACACAAACTCTTAAGCTAAGGCTTCTACAGTGCCTGAAATGAGGTTAATGCAGCTGGACATAGCCCAGTTTATAATTTAATTCTACCAAGATGCACCCTCACTTTTTACTCCAGTTATTGTTTTGAATCTATATATAAATAATGAGGATCAACAGACCTAACTAGATCTCCCGTTTTGCCAGTATCTGTCTCCTTTATTTACGCTTTATCAACAGTATCTTGCCAATATAACACCTATTGCTAAATAACCATATCTAAGTAACTGGTTAGACTTCCACCTAATCTTTCTCACATCTTACCTCTGCAAAGCATTGGAACATGTTGTCGCTAACTTCATCAACGACTATACCAATTTCATCTTATAAAACTACAAACAATATGGCTATTTACCAAGTTGAAGTGGCATGGATACAATCACATTAAGACTAAACTGATGCAAACAATTACTGTGCACAAGAAGTATCAAAATTAAGCAAAATACATCAAACTTAGTTGAGATTATTTAAAACTATATGCATCAGTTTTGATAAAAACAGTTTAAAACCTTTTAGGACAGGTAAACAAACCCAAATAGCTATTCCCTATATAATAACAATTGTATCTACTACTTTGTAGATTTTGAATAATTCTTATAACAAATGCATAGCTAGTGTTCAGTATTTAAAAAACTTCAATAGAATAAGTGAAAAGATATCTAAAGATATTTATATACCAACTCCTTCTTTCTCTTTCATTACTTTTTACTATATAATAACACCCTAAGGGTGCTAACCAGGAATGTATTTTTTACCGCCTATTTTGCAATATTGGGAATATTTATTCTTACTGTTCTACAAAATATTGGAAATTTTTATTGAGGTTGTCCTTTTTCTTCAATAAAAAAAAAGGTCATCAAATTTTGGGAATTTAAATCTATTAGGAATTCTGTGATATATGTGTTGCCATTTGGCTGGATAGCACCCTGACCCTACTTTTTTTGATATTTTTACAATATACTTATTATACTACATACTTTACTGTTTTTTTATAGTTCACTCATCTGGTTATAATGCATTGTCGCCTTTATTAAATATTGATCCTTCTTTTTTAATTCAGGTAAGTGTTAAGTTTTTTTATTGCCTGATTTTTTTGATATATTAAAAGTAAAAATAATGACATTTTATATTCACACTATATTCAAGCTATAAAAAAAATTATATAAAAAAACAGATTGTTTTTATATTTTTTAATTAAAAGACTTTTAATGAAATATGATTTTGTAAATTAAAAATTTAAATTTAGTTTTGAAGGAATGTAAAATAGTTGTTGAAATGTAGAATGTAAAATTTAGTTTTAAACGAATGTGAAATAGTTTTGCAATATTTATTAGAGAAAGATCTGGTTTATGTTTTTACATAGTGTAATTTACATAATAAATTACACTATGTAAAACATAAGCCTCTATCATAGATTAAAATGCGTAAAAGACAATTTAATCAAAGTGAAAATAATTAATATAAGCATTTTTAATAATTTTTTTTTAAAAATCTTTTCTTATAAACAATCAAACAAAAAAGTTTTATAAAATGAAATGAGCCAGTGTATTAAAGTAATTGTTGTTAAAAACTTATTGGTTTAAATTAGAATAAAAAGTTATTAAAAAACTTTAAATTTGAATTGCTATACATAAAAAAAATTTTAAAAGTATTGATCTCATTCATTTAAGTTTTAATTATAAAATCTTTTTCTAAAAATTACTTGCTTCCTCACTTGACTGAGAAGAAGAGTAATAAATAAACTATTTAGATCAATAAAAGTTTTAGATCAAATAAAACCATTTATCAATAAAAGAATGAATTATTTTAATAAATACAAGATCAATAAAAGAATCTTTTTAATAAATAAAAGATCAATAAAAGAATCAATCATTTTAATAAAAAAGAGATCTAAATTTATTCTAAAGTAGAGTTGAAAAAAATTGGTCAAATACAAAATTCTTTTAATAATTTTTCTAGAAAATGTTATGCTTATACATATTATCAGTGCTGGGTAAAATACTTTATAAAAGTATTTAAAATACAAATACAAATACTGGAACAAAAAGGTATTTAAAATAAAAATACAAAGACTTCAAAATTATTTAAATTAAAAATACTTTTGAAAAAGTGTTTTAAATACTAAATACAAAATACTTTACGACTTCTAAAACTTACAACTAAAAAATACGCCATTTTCAAAAATTATTTTTACGCACTCTCATTGCTCAAAAGTAGTTATTAGTCATTTATACTACATTTGCAGTTAAATATCATTCATTCAGTCACGATCATTTAAATATCATTCACTCAATCACATTTGTTTTTAGAAGCAACAGTGGTTTGAACATTATATCACTTAGGCAATTACACCTAGATATTTGTATTTGTCTCCCTGTGTTAAATAGTCGTTCAACTGGAGCTGACAGTGGTGCAATGGTATTGAATTTGACAAACAATGACTGAATAGTCTTATATTTATTCAGAGCATTTATACTTGTATCTTTATCATTCAGATACAACATGCATTCTTGCTGAGTGCCTTTTGCTGTACCAGCATTAGGAGTATCATTATATTCAAAAAAATTTTAAATTCTGCTGTCAGTGTTCACATTAAGATTGGTCTCTGTCAACGGTTCACAGGCAACTAGTAGGGCATTTTAAAATAATTCTCTGCAGATAGTTTGTTTACTTGTTGGCCTCCACCGTAACTTAAACAGTTGGTGCGAAACTATTGCAACAATCATGCATTTGTTTCATGTGTGACTACCATAAAATTAATGACAAGCAAGGGATACAAATGCTTGTGAAACCGAACTAGAATCATCTAGTGGCATTTCAATATAACGTGCATTCATTCCAAAATAACTTTTTCTATTGACTGACCAGATATCAGCAGTAGTGGAAACATATAATGCTTTTTTCAATTTGATTCTTATTTTTTCATGCATCTGAGAAAGCTTTGAATTTAAATGTTTGTTAACGAAAAGCTGGTTTTTCAACTGTAACCAAAGGATGCATCTCTTCAGCAATATAGTCTGTAATTAAGTCGTCAGCATCTCCATGCAATATAATACGATATCGTGGTGAAAATATTGACGCTGCTTCATGGTAAGCAATTTGTTTGAACTTCTTTTTAGCATGGCCTTTATCAGCTGTTCTTCCTACACCAGCCTTGCCTAGCTTTCTCTGAACATCTGCCTTATGTGCTTTATAGTCTCCAAAGCAATTCTTGTGCGAGTTCTATAAAGTAAACATAAATCCTTTTAAAAAATAAGTTTTTACTTTGCTCTAACTAAGTGAGAATTGTATATTTCCATTTATATTAACTTGTACTGTCTTGCCTTTAATGCATCATTAAATATTTGTTTGTTGACAATTAATTGCATATTGTTCATAATAGATAAAGTTAATTAATTTTAACTAATACTAAATTTTAAAACTACCTTCAAATGCTTAACAAAATTTGATGTTGTTGTCATCATGCCCGATAATGGCTTTTAATAACGAATAAATAATAAGCATAATGCTAATATTTTATATCTTTTTTTTGGTCTGGCTACAATTTTGAAAAAGGTGCCATCTACAATGGCTGGTAAAATTTTTTTATTTTCTTCATTCATTTTATTTTTGTGGCTCACAGCAGCCGCCCTTAAATTAAAATTGTTGATTCCTGCATAATAATTTGATAATTACCCTATTAAAACCAAGGTAGATAAATAAAGAAATAATTTAAAATAAAGAACAGCTGAATGACACTATGACATAACAGTTAGTTTAGTTTTTCGTGTGCGGTTTTGTGAATGTTTTAAGCAGTATTTAAATTACAGGTATTTTCAATTAGTACTAAATACAAAATAGTAATTTTTAACTAATCAAAAGTATTTTAAATACAAGTATTAAGTACTTTCAACAAAAGTATTTAAAATACAAATACAAAGAAAGTATTTAAAATAATATTTTATATACTTAGTATTTCAAATACCCCCAGCACTTTTATTTATATATTTTTTTATAACTGTTTTTCCAACTCTCTCTCTCAACTTATTCACTCTAAAACCTGAACTTTTACATAACTGCACTGAAATACAATATAAAAGACAAGTTGATTAAAAGAAATCAGAACTTCTCACTTACTTAGCAAGTATTTTACCACTAGACAAATACCATGTTATAGAATTTATGCATATGCCAGATTTTATTAAAGGTTTTTCTTTTTTTTTATTGGTATTTAAAATTTTTCAATTATCAATAAATTTTTAAAAAATTATTTAATAATTTTTATTTCATTTTAAATATAAATTTTTACAATTTAGAAAAAGTAATTTCTACATATGATTTTTTTGGTTTTTGTTTTGATAAGATATGATCTCTTTAAAAAAAAACATAACTTATGAACAATATCATTGTTTAAATTAATTTTTAACTTAAGTAAAAAAATAAACCAGCTGCAATAAAACTTTTTTCTGCTTCTATTGGAGTTCAGATAAGGCTTAACATGGTATTAAAAATCTTTTTTAAAGAGCTTTGTCTTTTTGCAGTACCTTTAAGTACTGCCATTTTTAATTTAAGACAAGTCAAATTTCTTGAGCGGGTTACTTACAAATCAGCTCTTTTATAATATCATTTTTGCTAATTTTTTTAAATTGGTTTCGTATTACAAATCAGATTCAGTCTAGTGACTAGGGTTGATATTTGAACAGGGCTGGAGCTAGGTTTGAAACAGACAACCACACACTTTCCAAATTTTTTTACTTCCATTTACTTTTTTCTCCTGAAGCTGCTCCTCTCTACATGGTGATATTCAAAGCATCTGCATCTTTATTGCTCAACATACTTAAACCACCTTATATTTCTCTGGCAAATCTTGTTTGATACACTCACTATTTCTAATTTCTGTTTAAGATCATGGCTTTATTTCTTGTCTTGTTACAGTCACATCACTCATCTTTATTTCTTTCTTGGCAAATACTAAATCTTTTAAATAGAAATAATTTTTTTTTTTTATAATTACATTTTTTTATTTTTAAAATTGGCTAAGATTGCTTGTGGGTATGTATTTTTTAAATTTTTTAAAAATACTTTTTTTTTTTAAAAAGTTTGTGTTTAATATAAATATATTGTAACTTTTTGTAAAGACTAAAAAGTAGAAAATAAAATATAGCAAAAACTTTTTAATTTAAATTAAATAGTTCAATAAACTAAAGATTGACAGGTTTCTATATAAAACTTGTGCAGACCTGTCAATCCTTAGTTTACTGAACTATTAAATTTAAATTAAAAAGTTTATTTTCTACTTTTTAGTACAAAGAAGATTATATTTTTGAGCAAATGCTTTTGCTATATTTTATTTATGTTTTAAGAGATTTTGAAAGTTGTCCTTCAAAAAATGCAAATTCACCTTTAATTAAAAGCTTTTTTGCATCATTTTTTTGTTTACACTTTATCAAGCCTTTCCAGGAGATGAGTACCTTGTATAGAGTTGCATAAAATCTCTTGTTCCATAAAAACGTGTTTTTTTCCTCTGGCATTTTTTTGGCTTTTTTTTGTTTTGTTTTTTGCGTTTTTCTGCTTTTTTTAAGCAATTTTTTAGTGTTTTTTTTTAGCATAAATTTTGGAATAATTTTTCTTTATTCTAGTATATTTTTAGTATTGATAATTAAAAGCGCAACTACTTAATTTTTAATAAAAAAATTAAATTAGCTATAAATTAGTTATAAATCTAGGCATACTGTATGGGAATGTTTATTTGTGATGTTGGAATTCCTAACAACTGTAATACTCTCATTATATATAGAAACTATTCTTATACTATAAGAAAGTTACCATTTTAATTTTGATAACATAAATATATTAGTATATAATACTATGCCAATTTAATATCAGACTTCAAATGCTAAAAGAAATATGCAATTTATTAAGATTAATTTCTTTGAGAATTTTGTAAAGTAATTTTTTCAGACACACTGACTACTATCTTTCAACTTGTAAAGCATTTCAGTAATTCGTGGCAAAAAGCTTAGTTTATCTACGGCTAAAATAAACAATCCTAAAAGAAAGAAACAGATTTTTTTTTTTTTT